ATACAACAATCACGTAGAATTGTGACATAATTAAGGTATACTTTTCTAATTTACTTGTTATCATACAAATATTTGACAGTAATTTAAATATTTTGACATTTTTAAAACAATTTCAATCGAAATTCTGGAAATTTTTACTTAAAAACGCATAAACTGTCAAAATATTTAATAATTTTTGGTGTTTTGTTAGTTCTTCAGGGCGTACAGTTGTTTTTAACAACAATAATTCAACTTTATTCTTCAATTCAAACTAAAAACAACAGCATGGATCATATTTAATCTAATACTTCTAGAAACATGACAAATGGCACGAAGCAGATAATTTTCCACACTTGAAACCACAACCGTTTAATTATAAGTTTCTGTATGTGCTGAGTATTGTTGAACAACCTAAACCGACAATTCTAACGCCGTGCCGTGCTCGTTGTACTTTGTATTCCACTCGTCAGTGCGGTGGGGAAAGCGCGACTGTGTGAGTGTCCTCTGTTCTCGACCAAGTCGTATTATTTATTGAGTGCGCACAAGCACTATCTTTTCAGTCGTGCAATTCATATAGAGCGCTTGATAGTCTCCTTCTGCACCAGTGCGTGTAAAGGCAGACGACACTACGGTTTACGTTTAATATTCCGCTGATAGTGATAACGATCTATTCATTCTCGTCATTTTCGCTTTTCCTGCTCGCCAGAAGTAAATTACACGCATAACAACAATCATGAAGGTTATCGTCGTTGGACTACTGTGCGCCATCGCCATCGCTGGTGCCAATGGCTTGAAATGTAAGTTTTTATTATTTGTTTATCATCGAATGTGTTTACATGCATTTGTTTCTTGTGCAGGCAACCATTTTGTTTATGCATCCATGTTGTTTTATTCTATCAATAAATAAAATGTTGGTTATTTGATTAATTTGTTTGTAATTTTAAATTTTAAGGTGGATTCACGGTTGATTCTCGTGATTACAATGCATTCGCCAACATGACCGCCGGTTGCACCGCGGCCACTCGGCAACAAGTTGAAGAAGAACTCAAAGCATCCATTCAATACATGGCTATGGGCGCGCACTTCTTGCGTGATTCCATCAACCGTCCCGGTTTTGGTAAAATGTTCATGCACTCAGCCACTGAGGAGCGCGAGCATGCAATGAAACTCATCTCTTATCTCCTGATGAGGGGTGAACTCACCAAGGAAGTCAGCACTCTCATCAAACACAACGTAAGTGTTTTATCAGCAACATTTATTATCTCCTAAACTAATTACATTTGTTTTTTTAATAAATACAGTACCCACCAGCGAAACGCGATTGGGAAGATGGTCTCGCCGCTCTCAAGGATGCATTGGCACTCGAAGTTGAAGTTACCAACAAGATCCGCAAGCTGATCGAAGTCTGCGAGAAGAGCGACGATGTCAACGACTACCATCTTGTCGATTACCTTACCGGCGAGTTCCTCGAAGAGCAGTACAAGGGCGAGCGCGAGCTGGCCGGCCGTATTTCCACTCTCAACAAGATGAAGTCCCAGCACGGCACTCTCGGC